AACCCACTAAATAATTGTATGCCAAGCAACCCAAAGATCATAACAAAAAGTAGTAGCAACACCACTAAACTTATAATTGATACCATACTATTCAAAATTGAGTTGATTAAATTCTTTAATGAGCTCCATAGTCTATGTTAAAAAAAAAAATGTTAAAAAAATAAAATTCAAATATAGTTAAAGATAAGAAAATTTGAAAAGAAAATCAAGTAAAGTAGCAAAAAGTCCAAAAATTGTTTAACTATTCTTTGATTAATGTTCATAATTTTTATATTATTTAATTAATATAAAAAAAACTTGTTTTCAACTTGTTTTTCATTTTATTTTCAGCAGAACCAAAATCAAAATTTTTAGGGAAAAAAAGTTACTTTGTAAATTTGATAAGTCTCATTAGTCGAAGCTGTCGCAAAACAGATACAGCCAAATTTATGTTCATAAACTTGTTTAAAAACCAGTTTATTATACTAACCAGTACAACCTATTGACAAATAATAAATCAAATAATAATAAATTTAAACTTGTTTTTAGTCTGTCATATAAACCTGTTTCAATATCAATAAACTTAAGTAGACTTTTATTATTTAGAGTAAGAGTTAAGAACCATCAGAAAAATTTAAAAAGTCAAAAAAGAAAATTTAAAAACTATTTCAGTTTAAAAAGATATTCAAACTGCTAAATTTGTTGAGTTATTACATCATGATTAAATTAAGTATAAAAAAATATAAATGATAAAATATTCAAAAGGTTTATTTAGATTAAAATTGACTGATAATAAATTTAAAAATCTAGCATGCAAAAACAAAACATGCAACAAGAACTAATTACAACAAATACAACTGCTACAAATGATTAGTATGTTAAAATGTTCACTAACTTTGTACATATTATTAAATTATAAACACTTGGATCCCCTGATCCTAGTGTTTAGGGGCTTGCCAACCATTTCACCAATAAGATCAGCAGCTTCACATTTTACAGTTAATTCAATTTGCTTCTGAGTTTAAAAAATTAACAAATTTTTATTTTCACTTTCTGTTATTGTTATGGTTGTGAAATTATTTTATGTTATGTTAATGCTAATGTGCTTTAGAAATTTTTCAGGTTTTGGAAACTCTCAAAAGAAAAGGGTTATTAACTTTACATTAAAATGTAACTAAATAAATATTGTTAATATTAATTTGATATAGCAAAATATTTAATTCCCAGAGAAAGGTATAATTTCTCTCTATGTACTCAATATATTGTCTTGATTATTGATATATTGTGTAGAGATGGGTATATTTGTCAGACACAGTCAAGAGGTTAAGAGCTCCTTTTAATAGAAGCAAGGGCAATAGTCATACAAGTTGTTATTAATAAAAAACACAACATTATAAACCAGATTTAACTAAAATTTGATATAAAAAGTTACCACAAAATCAAAAATGTTGAACTTTGATTGGAAATACAGACTTGGTCCCAGTGCATACAACTTTAAACTTGTTTCCAGAAAGAAAAAAATTAAAAAGAAGTTATCTGTTATATCTAAAAATAAAATCAAAAAATAAAACAATGTTTGAGTAAAATACTTTCAGTATTATATTATTAAAAGTGTAAATAATATTTTAAAAAATCATGCTTTTTTCTATTAAAAAAATTCCAAACTTGTAAGATCATTGATCCATTGTTGTTGCTGGTAGAATTGCATCACGCCAGTAATACTATTTAAAATGACCAACACAATTAAGACCCAGTACATAAAGTTAGAAAGCATTACTGCTTTTATATTGGCTCGCAAAGCATTACTTCTAACAATTAAACTACTAAAAAAAACAAAATAGTCAAAATTACAAATAAAACTATTAAAAATATATTACTATTATTGAATATTATATATTATGTATTATTATAGTACTAAAATACTACTTTAAAACGTTATTAATAATAATCAAAGATTTAAATTATAAAGTTCACTATCAGAAAATTATGTTTATTTTTTGCCGAAACAAATTGCAAGCATTTACTTTTAATCAAAAATGTTTATTTTATCATGTGGAATTTAGCACCACTTAATTTAATCTCTTAAAACATTTTCTGATTCAAATAATGAATTTCTTTCTTAACAAACATGAACAAAATGTTTAAGCTTTAACTAACAATGTAATACCTTAATTTAAATTTAAGTATATTTTAACATCAATGAAATTTTCAAAAAAAAAAATTAAAATACACTGCATTTATTTTACTGTGACGCATAGATAATACAGATGTAAGTACAATAATAAAATACATAAATGAAAAAATTCATATGAAAGAGGAAAAAATAAGACTCAAGTTGTCTTATCACTAAGCACCAAAATTGTTTTCTTATCACTAAAACCCATATTATCAATAACATACACTGTGGATATAAACATTGTTAAAAAAATTGATAATAACTTAACCAGTTTCTAATGCTTTTTTATGTTTTGTTTTTGTAAAAAAATAATATAGATTAAAGTTAAGCCTTTGCATAAGATGTCATTAATGCAATTGTTTCCTTGCAAACACACACACACACACACACACACACACACGCACACGCACACACACACACACATGTTATTATTGTTGTTATTAGTTTTGTTGCCTCAAGATTAGCGAGTAGATGGTAGCTCTTCGACTTTATATGATTCTTGTGGTATTGTTGAATAATTGTTTTTGTAAAAAAGCAAAAGAAAGAATGAAATGTTTAAGTGTTATTAAATAAAAAAATATACATTTACAAGTCAATATTTCATCATTAAATAAACATCATTATTTAAAAACTATATTATTGATTTTGCAATTGCTTTATATGCTAATTGCAAATTTTGAAGTTTGAATGAAATAAAGTTTTTCTCTCCTTTGGTGAATAGCAAGTAGAACTCCTGGCGATTGTCAGGAGTTATTATTCAGGACATAAATACATAAGAGTCAGTTTCAATAGCTTTTTGTAATCTTCTCTGGGGAAAATGTTTTCCTTAAGAGCCATCTCGCAAAATTTTACATTGTTAAGTCTATGGATTTCTAAGAAAGTGTTATCAATAGATTGGGTAGCATATTTTACAAACTTTAAAGAGTCAATGCTACTTTTAATTTTATTCCAGTTTAATTGGAACTGTTTAAACATTAAGTTTTCTGGAGATTTAGTTTTTCTACTGCATCGTTTTTTACAGAAGTATTTTATATCTAACTCATAAACATGCCTCCTGCAAGCCAGTTCTAGTACAATTGAATTTTTTTATGACTAAACCTGACATTTGTACAAAAAAGTTTTCCTGTACTTGTAGCAGTTGTATCAAAGCATAAACCTTTCATGTAATCACATATTCCAAATTCATCCAGTATTTTAACTAAAGAATCATATTGAACTTGTTCAGTACCACAATTAATAGCTGGAAAGCCAAGAAGCTTCATTATTTACCAAGAGTGCAAATCGATCTCTTTGATTTTTTACCTTCTGTGATATTTTTGATAATTTTCCCATCAAAATGTGCTATTATGGGAAAAATTACTGGTAGCGATGTTAACATTTTTCTTATATTGTTCAATATTTTCCCGAATAGTTTTTTTTGAACTATTCCTTCGATTTCTCTGTTACTTCACTTTAATGTTATCCAACTATCGATTAAACGAGTGATATTATTCCTGCAAAAATTAAGATAATACATTAAATGAAATTTAAACTATTAACAACATATTTATAACAATTCATCATATTACATATTTGTTTTATTGTTCGATAATAAGAAATTTTATTTAATCAATAATTAATCATACCACCTTACATTTATTATATTACTTAGCTATAAACCCATATGTAATAACAATTAAATAAAAAATAAAAAAATTGTTTGGAGTGGTATTAAAAAAAAAAACCTTAATCATCTACTAGCTTATAAGTTCAAAGGATTATAAACATTTATTTTTACTATTTTATTATAAATTAAAATTATAAAACTTACCTTATAGATTTATCCAATTATAATCCATCTTTGTAACCTCCATCTAACCACAATTTTTTAACTGCAAAAAGAACAGTTGTCTGGGGAATTGAAAAAATCGGAGTACTTTGCAAATTTATTGGGCCCATCAGTACAACCAATAAACTTTTTGATGGAGTTAACTTGTAACTAGATCTTTTAAACTGAAAGTTAAGAATTAATTCTTTGTTTGTTGCAAAAGTTATTTGAGGTAAGATCTCTATCAAATTTATTTCTTTGAATAAATACGCTCTAGCTTTTAGTCTTGTAATTTTAGCCATTTTGAATATTTTTTTTTTAATATTAGACTACTTGTTATTAGTAATGCAAATTTAGTTTTAAACACTTTGTGTTAACATAGGAAATTTTGTTGTTAAATTTCAAATTAAAGTTTAAGTACTTAAGTTTGTACATTTTTTGATAATATTTTCTGATCAAATTTTCCGTATTTGAAATGTATTGCCCTCTAATGTTTATTAAGAACTTTGTGCTCGAATGTTTATTAAAAACTTTTGTGCTCTAATGTTTATTAAGAACTTTGTGCTCTAATGTTTATTAAAAACTTTTGTGCTCTAATGTTTATTAAGAACTTATTTTTGCCTTAACTTATTTTCATATAAATGGTGAATTTATAAATCGATTCTTTTTTTTTTTTTTTTTTAAAACATCTTCGCTTTCAACAAGGCTGCAAGCAACCACTAATTAGTGTTGGAAGTTACTGGAAGAGAAAAGATGAAGATTGTAGAGCAAGATTGACAGACGACTTAAAAAATTGCAAATTATATGAATCAGGAAAGCAAGATGAAGGAAGCGAATTCCAAAGAACTGATGTTTGAGGAAAAAACTAGACAAATAAGAATTTTTGGAGCACTTAGGAACAGTAACAGAAAAAGGATGAGACTTAATTGAATGACGAGTCACACGAGAATGAACTTTAGTAGATGGCACAAGAGACGCTAGCTCTTTAGAGCAGTGTCCATTATAGTATTTGTAGAAAAGAGAAAGAGAAGCAACATTACAACGATGTGACAGAGGTTGAAGGTTGGCTGGAAGAGCAGGTCCAACTATGTTTACAATGCGTTTTTGCACCTTGTCTAAAAGAGAAAGGGCATCATTAGAAAATCCACCCCAGATATGGCAACAGTATTCCATACAAGGCCGGATTTGAGATTTATAGAGAATAGAATCCAGAGTAAGAAAGTGAGCTCGATAAAGAGAAGGGACTTTAGCAGATGCTAATTTTGCAACGGATTTGATATAAGGTTTCCAAGAAAGATCAGAAGTAAGAGTTAATCCTAGAAGATGAAGGGTAGGAGACTCATCGAGTACATTACCGTTCATAAATATAGGAAGGTCTAAACTATTGCGATAACGATTGGCCAAAAAAAAATTAGTTTTATCTGAATTAAAGTTCACCAGCCACTGTGAGCCCCATGCTGTAGCAGAAGTGAGATCCTTTTCAAGCTCAGATGCCCCCTGCAAGCAATCAGAGGGAGATGGCTTCTTATTGTGACAAGAATAAATGGTAGTATCATCAGCAAACAATGCCACCTTAGATGTGAGAATATCTGGAAGATTGTTAATGTAAATTAAAAAGAGTATGGGGCCAAGGATTGAACCTTGGGGAACCCCTGAGGTTACAAAATAAGAAGAAGAGTGCTGTCCATCAAGGACAACTTTTATACTACGATTGGAAAGAAAGGATTCAATAATCTTAAAGATGTTTCCAGATACACCATAAGAAGAAAGCTTATGGAGAAGACCAGCATGCCAAACTTTATCAAACGCTTTAGAAATGTCAAGAGCAATGGCCTTAACCTCTCCACCTTTATCTAATGCGCTATAAAACCTATCGGTTATTACTGATAGCAAATCAGTCGTAGAACAAGAAGATCGAAATCCATATTGATGATCAGAAAGTCGGTTATGAGATTTGAGATGTGAGATTAAGTGTTTGTTAATTAAAGATTCAAAAACCTTGCTTAAGATAGGAAGAAGACTAATGGGACGGTAGTTAGACGAATCGGATCGCTCTCCAGAATTTTTAAAAATAAGGATAACAGATGCTGCTTTCCAGCAGGCTGGAAAACAAGACTCTGATAAGCACTTGTTAAATAGTTTTGAAAGGATAGACGACAGCTCCGGAGAACACTTCTGCAAGACTATAACAGGTATGTTGTCCAGGCCGCAAGCTGTAAAAGAGTCTAAGCAAGAAATCACATTAGATACAGAAGCTGGAGTGATACGAATGTCGAGCAATGGATCAACCTGTTTGACGGCTATATCAGGTAGAACGCAACTAGTGGCATCAAGAGATGATATTGATGAAAAAGTTCTTGGCAAACAATTCAGCTTTGTCTTTAGGTGAGGTGACAAAGTCTGAACCATACAAAAGAGGTGGAATTACAGACTTGCCCTTGTTATTGATACTATTAAAGATTCTCCAGAAGTTACGAGAGCCTAATTTTTGTGATGAAATACGAGATTTCATGATCTGAGAATAGCGGGCTTTGGCATTAGACAAAACTTTTTTACAATGATTCCTAGCAGTAATAAACAGACGTCTGTTTTCTGGAGAATTGTTTTGCCGATAGATTATGAAGTAATGGTTTCGATTGGCAAGCAGCACAATGTGAGGAAAACCATGGAGAAGAGTGAGACTTCTCCATGGTTTTCCTCACATTGTGCTGCATTCCATACCAGCCTGAATCCACGAAGTTATGTAAGAAGCACATTTGTCAACAGGGAGACGAAAGATTTCTATCGAGGGCCCATCACAAAGAAAATCACGGAAAGAGTCCTAGTCAGCTTTAAGGTAGTTGTAGGATGTATGATGATAGGGGGATTCTGATGGTAAAGAAGAATGAGATAATAGTTTTAGAGAGACCAAAACATGATCAGAAGCACCAAAGGGTGAGTGTGGAGAAACTGAGCACTGACTAGGATTAGAAACAAGACATAAGTCGAGTAGAGAAGGTAAATGATTCGGGTTGTCTGGAAAGCGAGTTGGAAAGTTCACTATTTGAGTTAGGGATTGAGAAAGACAAAAATTGTGAGCTTTAATGCCTGCAGAGTCACTGACACTAGAGCCAAGCCATTCAGTGTGATGAACATTAAAGTCACCAACAACAACAATATTGGCTGATGGATAAAGAATGAGGGCTTGGTTAATATAATCAGAAATAACATCAAGAAGAGTGCAGTCTTGAGATGAAGGAGAGCGATATTGAACAAAGAAAAAGGTGATAGAGTGAAGTGGTGCTAAACGAAAGCACATAAAAGAGTAGCCTGTGGATTTAAACCTAGTTTCCCAACAAATGGGTGAATTCTTACGAATGTAAATGCCTAGGCCAAGCATGTGACTATTGGAGTCTTTACGAATTAAAGGAAGATAACCATCAACACTAAGATCACAAGATGAGACAGCTGAGCTCAAATTAGTCTCACAAAGAGTAAGTAGGTCTGGTGAACTTTGCAAGAGATAGGACTCAACAGAAGAAAAGTTACTTCGAAGACCGCGAATATTGGTGAATGATAGGTTTAGCGAACTTGGTGATGACTGTGGTTTTTTGTGTTTTATAGTTTTTGTTACTTTATTCATTTTTAAATTTGTTAAAGAACTTGACTCAAAACATAGATATTACTCAGTACACTGCTTTATATCTCAAGCAATTGCCTCATTTCCACTAATAAACCCTAAGCCATAACAAAGGGCTCCAATGTGGCCTTGGCAATGCACACCAAAAGTACAAACAGGGACACCATCCATGCGCAACATGGCACTGTTAGTACTCTGATATTTTTCAGCTGTTGATGTAATCAGCCTCTCTGAGAGCTACCACAGAGTTCGGGAAACCTGACTACCAGCCGGCCTCAGAACCATAAAACTGAGTTTTAAAGCTGTACCCTCATTTGGAGATAATAGAATGAGTTGCCTAGTCATATTTGGCAAGTTCAATTTTAAAAATTAAAAATAGTATATATATATATATAATTAAAATAGTCATATTTGGCAAGTTCAATTTTAAAAATTGATAAAATATGAAACACATTATATATAACTATATATATATATATATATATATATATATATATATATATATATATATATATATATATATATATTATATATATATATATATATATATATATATATATATATATATATATATATATATATATATATATATATATATATATATATATATATATATATATATTCATATATATATATATATACATATATACATACATATATAGATACATAAATACATACATACAATACATATATATTAATTTTTATTACATTTACTATGTATTTTATTTTTTTATTGTATATTAATACTTTACAGTCAGGAGCTAAATTTTGAAATGATTTTTGAAATTAAAGTATTTAAAAATATAAAAATTAAATTTGAATATACTTACGAAGGTTTACCATTAGACTGTTCCTGTTTTTTAGCTATTAAGAAAAAAATTGCATTAAAGAATATTTATTATATATAAAATTTCTTCTTTCATTTTTTTTCAACTAATATAACAATGGTTTTTTAATTATTTTTTTGAGTATTGAATTTATATCAAAAAACATTTTTATAACAAGAAATTAATATTCTTATACTTAAAACAAAAATTATCCACTAAATTAGAAAAAGTTTATTACCCCCTAATCATTTTTCAGCTTTTCTGTTATATAACTTAGTAAAATTGCAGAAAAAAAGCCTAAAACAAACAAATTTGATTGATAGAAGTTACTCTAACTAATTTTTTAGCAAAGTTTGTTTTCTTTTTAGTTTCTTATTAAAAAAATCATGGTGAAAAGAGATGAAATTTATGAAACAGTAAAAAAATTGATCCTGGGACACTATAAAAGTGAAAAAAGATATAAAACTATTTTTAAAATGGTAAATTTAAGCCTAATAGTGTTGAAAATATCATTAGAAAATATAAAAAAATGGGTACTGTAAAATTTTGCAAAGAAGAGGATGCCCCGGCTACCTTACGCATTGATAGAGAAGTTATTCAAAAATTTAAACAAGATCAAGGATTAACTGCACCAAGGCTGGAAAAAGATTTGCAAACAGATCATGGTATAACTGTAAATCCTCAAACTATTCACAATCGTCAAGCATGGAGGAGGTAACTTTAGGCTTTATTATAACATTTTAATATTATATATACATCAAACTTATTTTTTACTCTTTTCATAGGTTGAATGATGGTTTGGTGCTCCTTTGCTAGGATTAGTGTTGGCGAACTCGAATTAGGCAAAAGGATAAGGCAAAAGGCGCACAAATAGACTTTTAATTTTATATTAGAAAAATAACTATTTAAGGGGTGAAAAAAAGTATGTGCAAAAGTATTAGTGCACAATTTTCAAAGATTCTATAAAAATTTAATATTTTTTTTTACCTTATAAATTCCATGACACGTAGAGAGTTGACATATCTTAAAACCTTTGCTTTTTAAGACATGCCAACTCTCTACATAACATGGAATTTATAAGTTTTTTGATTAGATCATGTAGCATTGTATTCCACAAAAATTCTTGAGCTACACCAAGCAAGTTTGCTTTTTTATAATTTGCAGTCCATCCAACTGTAAAGATACTCAATAGGATTCAAATCAGGTGAGCGAGTGAATCATTGCATCAGATTCGTTTTTCCTCCATCTATTGCTTGACTGAGCATGCTGTTTGGAAAGGAGCATTATATTGTTAAAGTTGCCAAGTGGAGTCAGTTCTGAAAATGTCCATTAAAGGGCATTAATAATCCTCATATATCTCTTTATACCGCTATTGAGGCAATCAGTGTAAAAATGCACCTCGTCAGTGCAAGCAATTTTATTGATCCACCAATTTTATTGACTATTATTATTAAGATAAATTAACAAAATCCAATCAAAAAGAATCCAAAAAATTATTTCTAAAAAGAATTAAATGAGTGCGCTAATATTTTTGCACACTTATTTTCACTCATTTTTTAGAGTAGTCATTAAACTTCTAATTAGTTTATTGAAAAAAAAACAGGTTGACAAATATTTGACATTATATTTATTTTATTTGGTCTCACCTTTTATTTAAAAAAAAATTAGTTCAAAATTAAAATTAGTTTTCAATTTATATTGAAAATATAATATTGATTTGAAGTTGGCTATAAAAAAAAATTAAACGAGTGATATTATTCCTGCAAAAATTAAGATAATAGTGGTGTCTTATTGTTCGTAATATTTGAAAGTTTTTAAGCTATTAAAAATGAACCAAAAACGGAAATGACTTGAAACTTTCTAGAAATGTGAAATACTATCATATAGTAAAGTCACTTGTTGAGCGTTCAAAAATTGTTAAAGGTCGACAAAATGTTTGTCGCTTTTAATTTACTTCATTGGCGTGTATTATTTATGACATCTTCATTATTTACATATCTTTTATTTCACTATAGAATAATAATTTTTGGTTACCTTTTATATAATGATTAAATTTCTTGTTTTATTATTTTTTCTTATTATTCTACATGTAACTGTTTTGTTTTATTTTTTTCATTCAATTTTTTCAGATTTTATAAAGTCACACTTGGTTTCTTTTTAAAATAAAGATCACTTGAACTTATTAATAAAAATTAAAAATTAAGAACATCTTCGTGAGCTGTAAAGCGGTAGGGAGTTATAAATAAAAAAATAAATTTATAAACTTTTTTTTATGATTAATTAATAATTTTATTATTAAATAAGTTATATTTTATTATTACTATAGTTTAGAATAATAATTTACAGTTTAGAATTAGGTAAGCATTTTTTTAGGTAAATTCATAATTTATTGAAAATGACATACACAAGTGACATACACAAAGCTAAGATTTAATTTTGTTATATAAATACATATGTATGTATATAACATTAATTAAATCTTAGCTTTGTGTATGCCATAAATAATGGGTTTATCTAAAAAATACTTAACTAATTCTAAAGTTTTGCAAGAGAATGTAGATTAACATTTTTTCAAACTATTAATGCTAGAGTGCTAGTTATTTACCATAAACTTTGTTGTGAGTTTTCATTAAAAATAAAAAAAGAGATTTAAAAATATGTCACAACAAATACTTTTATAGCATAAGGAATTTTTTTTTTACAAAGTTTAGTAATTGTTATGAAATGAAAATTTCAAACACTGAAAATGTTTTTTGTTTAATCGACCAGTTATTAAATACAGTTGCCCATCAACTCTGTGTATTAGCCAGTCAAAATGAACTTTTTTATTTTGTGAGATGGACTGAGAGACTTGGCGGTATTTTCCTTTTCTCTAATCACTTGAGAAAAATCATAATATCTTTGAAAGAAGTTCAGAGCTTGAATTACACAGATTAGAGGTACCCTGAAATATATAAGCTCCTTCAAATGTGTTTTCATGTCTGGAATACGGATGAAAGTCCTCAAATTGATTGATCAATGCAACCAGGTTATTCAGGCAAAAAAGGCAACTATTGTTATTGAGCATTGATCAGTCAACTTTAATCTGCTCTCATTTTTTGCAGATATATCCATGTTACATGATTGAAAATGAATTTACCGAAGAATTGATTTACATGAAACATATTCATACTGCAAAAAAGGAAAGAAACTTCTTTGGGAAGAAACTTCTTGGCTCATTTAACTTATTTAAACAAAATTTCTGAAACGAGGTTTGGGCGACTCTGCATATTTTTGCTTCAATTGCAGTGACACTCAGGAAATTAAAGCTTAATAAGAAATTTTTTCTCTCAACTATGGGACAAAAAAAAACAAGTAATCTTGCTGTTTTTTAGTAACGAGTATCTGTTAGCACTAAATCTTGATTTCTACGATGTGATTGAAAAGTTTACAATACAAAAGATAAGAAAAATAACATTGTAAAAAACAAAAGCTAGACTACTTAACTATACTTAAATATCAGTTATAAAACAAAAGCTGGACTACTTTACTATACTTAAATATCAGTTTTATAATCAAAAAATTTGAGAAAAAATTTGATTATATTAATTTTGATTTTAGAAATGCTAATAATTTTTTGATCCTATCACTAAAAAATTTGCCTTTTTTTTTAGAAGAAAGAGAAGGGTTGGACACCTAAATTAAAGATTGCTTTGGGCCCCCAAACACTGTGCAACCCTGGATTAAGTACTGAGAATTTCTAAAGTACTTGGCTAAAATGAATTGACATTTTCACAAAAATATTACTTCAGAATAGCTGGAGACAACATTTAAAGAAAAACAAACTTAAAAAACTGTACACATGTACGTATGCGCGTTAGGTATATGACAAAAAAACTTTTTTCAAAATTTTAATTTTCCTGATGTTGCATTTGATGAACTTTTACCAATAGATCACTATTTTGATGTTTATTTCATTGGATCACAAAAAAATCTCCGGCACCTAGCACCTCACCACTTTTAACTTTTTCGATTTTTCACTTGATTTTGTTACTAGTTCTTACTTCCTTATGCTTGACTATGCTTAAATATAACTACAAGTTGGAGAGCGTCAAACAGTTTAAAAAGTTAATTAACATAGAATGAAAAAGTTCGATAGTTTTAAATTGTTTTTATGTTATGTAACTCAATTTTGAATAACAAATTTTAACGACTGTTTTTCAGATTAATGCGCGTTTGATGTTGTTTGTTGTTGAGTATTTTTTAATGTTCGCATGATTAAAATATTGAGTAGAAGTATTTAAAAAAATTTTTTCATTATTTTTGCAGTATTAATTTGCAAGATCTGCTGTTTAGTGCTTCTTTTTGAAAATATGTCCTTTAAAAGTAAAAAGTCAAAATCAGCAGTGGAAGCAGCTGGTAAAACATGGACACAAAATTTGAAATCAAGTACAAAGCGCCATCCTAATATACCACAGGTAAAATAGAATTTGAGCAACAAATTGTGTAAAATGCCTTCCAACAGAGATATCGTTGGAAGATTCTTGGGACTCTTTAATGAATTGAAAGGACGATATGATCGACTAACAAAAATATCCGAGGAATTGATGAATCTTTGGCAGAAGTTTAATTTTCCTGTTCTTTACAAACAACAAGTGTCTGCTAATGTTTACAAACTTATCGCATCATTTGAGAAACACAGAAAGCGACCAAATGCAGTATTTGAAGAAAAACTTGCTCATCTGTTCGATGTAACAAAACCAGATGGAAATTGGCTTTGTAGTGAGGATAAACAACTGTACAAAGTACAAATTAAATCAGATGGCAGGGTGGGATATACAACTATGAAAGTGGCTCCTATGTCAACAATCCATCCATCAAAAAGGGCCAAAAGCACATCAGAACCCTCGACAAACCAAGCGGTTATCTCCATACCACTTTCCTGCGATAGTGAGGATTCTGAGGAAGGAAGCAGCAGTGGTGACTCGGAGGTAGTTCCAGGAAAATCTCCCAGAAAGCGTGCAACACGCCAGTCAACTAAGTCTGCTGCCAAACTAGTGTCTAGTCACTCTGTCAACCAGAAAAACGTCACGAGTGCTTCAAAGTCTGGCTGAGGATGGAGTTTGTGTCCCAACACCATCACAGTCTGGAGTCTGGCGTCGAACAATCAAAGATGCAGAACAAGTTAGGAACCGCCTCATAGAACTGATCTCTGAAGAGCAATATCCCAACTTAAGTGTTCCAAAGCTGTGAAATGCTTCTCTACCCACTGGAAGAAGGAACCATCAGTGCTTGATGTGCCTCGAACCAACATAGTAGCCGAGAGAGATAATATCTTAACTGTAAATTTATTAATACTAGTACACAAATCTGAAAGATTATTAACATCACTACAAATGCTGTAGGACAGTGTATTTCTCATGTATTTCTCATGTGTATTGTATATAAAGATGACATATTATAATTAATAGCCTTTGGGCTGCTATGTGTTGTATGGTTAAATATGAAACTGTCTTAGGTGCGGGAAGTTTTTTCAAGGTATGGTGAAATCAATGTCATTTCTGTGATTTATAGGCAAAAGTTCATTATTTAGAACCCCAGGCCGATTGTTTTAAAATTTATCATATACCTAATGCGCGTCAGGCCTTGTTTTAAAGCGTTACGCCTAGAGCGATTTACGTACGCCTTAAGCGCTTTTTACGTACGCGTAGAGCTGTTTTGGTTAAGCTACTTTTTATCATTTTTTAACTTTTAAATTAGCGGTAACATAAAAGAAGTAATTAATTTTCAAAAAAACCACATTAACTTTTAAATAACGATATGTAAAGGTATTTATTAAAAAAAAGAATTTACTATAAAATTAATTGTTGTAACTTTTCATCGCGATATATCTTTCCTTTTTATAGCAAATAATTTGACGCTAAACTTTTTATCGAAATATTTAGCAACATGAAAAATTGTTTGTCAATCCTTAAATACAAATTTTTTTTAAAATTTAAAAAGTAGTAAAGTTTTTAGTAAAAAACTTTTAAAAAATCTATATTCCATATTTATTAATACAGAATATAAAAGTTTTTTGTAATATAGATTTTTTATGAATTTTTTACTGAATTTATAATAAAAAACATTTGCAAAAAAATTTGTAATTAAGAATTGACATTTTTTTTAATAAAATCTCAAAAAATGTCTTAATATTTTTGTTATCATGATAACAAAAATATCAAGACATTTTTTCGAGATGTTAAAAAAAATGTCTTTGCTTTTCTTATCAGTTTAATAGTATATAGCTTTTCTTATTAGTTTATTAGTATATAGTTTAAGTTATGCGGGGGGAGGGGGTCGGCACAGAAAAAAAAATTACCTGTTACTCGCAATATTTGAATGAAGACAATTTGTTAAAATTCTTCTGCGTGCGATTCAATAAGTTTTTTTTGTCATAAATCAAGTTATAATATAAGGTAAAGAAATCATGAGTAGACTACTACATCCGCTGATGACACTAATATTACGTTGAATATATTTATAACGGAGGTTTTATTATGCACGCGCACATTACAGGTTCCGTTAAATAAATACTAAGGCACGTTTTAGTTTAATGACAGTCTCCATTTTTTACTAATGAATATGTATTTTTCTTTATAAAACAAAACAAACTAGTATTTAAAAACCTTGTATATTTCTATTATCTCTAAATTATTTAAAGTTCGAATATGGATTGTATTTTGAAGGACAAAAGATTTACTTTAAAAACTTTTCAATCTTGGGACTTTGCCGATGCGATGATCACAGAAAAAGAGAAGACTTACGTTATTAAAATCAAATGTAAGTTATGTGATCTTCATCAAAATAAAATATTATCCAAAAACAAAAGTGCCGTAAGGGCAACTGCCCAACGGTTTATAAATAATACAAGTCATGTTAAAATATTTTAACATGTTACTATATTTTAATTAAGTTGATATATAATTAAAAATAAAAATATAGTTCAATAAATAAATTAAATTTATTCTTAACAAAGATTACCTCATATTTATTCTTTTTTTTATTTTATTAAGTTAAATTGCTTACAAACGAAAAAAAAAAAGAGTTTTGTAATTATACGTAGAATGAAAATACTTTTGAGTTTGTTTATAAGTTAAGGAACTTAATTTTTAATAAACAAATTTTTACGAACGTTTATTATAAACAGATACGATTCAAATTATTAAATATACTTAAATTATTTCAGTTGAGTATTTTTATAAGTTTGCACGATTAAAGTTTGGCGTACAAGTATTTGTTTTTTTGTTTTAAGAATAATTAATAAAAGAGTTTGCATAATTAAGACTTTTATATTTAATTTAATTTTTTTTTTAATTTCCTAAAATTAAAAAAAAAAAGATTTAATTGTTGAAAACGATTTTTCTCTATAGCTCTGTTTCTTTGTGATTTGTTTAAAAAGTTAAATATTTTTACAATAACATAAAAAGTTTATGAACTAAATTCCTAGCGAACGCGTTCAAAACTACGTATCAAAAATACGCTTCAAAGCAGACAAAACTTTTTTATATTTTTATAAAACGCAAGTTGAAACGCTTTTAAAAATTTTAAAAATATTTAAAAACTTAAATTTTTCTTTGCTAGTCAAAACAAAATCGTTGTTTAAATAATTAACATGGGTTTGTGTTTATCAATGTTAATATTTTTTGTTTACTCTGAAAATTTTTAAAAATAAAAAAAATCATCATTATTTTTTATTCAATAACGATTAAAAACAATTATTTAAAAACAAATTTCAGAAATAAATAATATATATATATATATATATTTTTTTTACTAAATAATATTGAACTAAAATTAATAATAAAATAACAATTGAAAACATTACAAAATTTTCATAATAAATTTATATTTAAAACGTTTATAGTTTATATTTGAGTTAATTGTTAAATTGAATTAGTTTGCGGTTATTTATTTATTGCGGTAGTTAAAACACTTAACGCCTATAAAAAAAAATAAAGATAATTTTATGACGTCAAAATTATCAGAAAAGAAGACAAGATATGATTTAGCTAATAAACCCTTTGATGAAATTAGACACAAACTTTGTCGAACTTGATGATGTTTTATATAAGTTTGCGAGCTTGAAAATATTATTTTAATCAAATCATTGAAATTTTTATTCAAGGTAATGAACAACATTAGATTGCATTTTTCAAAAATAGTTAAAAAACAAAATATTTTATAAACATCGTAACATGTGGTGAAGAAAATATCAAAATCTTAAAATAAATGTGAAAACTCCCAAAGTTATAAAAAATAACAAAGAGGGTGATATAGGCACCAGAGTTTAAATCATAGATAGAGATATATAATATACACCAGAGTTTAAATCAGCAAGGATTTTTTGAAATTCACTCAAAAAGTTTCTGTAATAAACTATTTTTAAATCATTAGTATTAAGGATATAAAAAATAAACAAGTAAAAATAAATAAAATTGATTTTGAATTTCAAACTGCATTTAATACAAAAATTAAACAAACAAAAAAAACACTTACAATTTTCTTCCAACTCTTTTGCAACAACAACCTCACCTTCTTCAACCCAGGCCTCATACTTCTCAGCTACTCTTTCAGCTGCTAATTCAGCCCTTTGAATTAAAAACTCATCACGGTTTTTCACACGCCTATTTTCTTTACTAAACTCTCTAAAAGTAATGCATAATAAATAAAAATAAAAGTAATGCATAACAAGTAAAAATAACAAATACATACTTGCTAACTATACATTAATTTTTCTCATTACAAACAAAACTCTCAAAAAAGTTAAAAAAAAAAAACAACAGAAAAATCAAAAAAGTTAAAAAAAAAACAACAGAAAAAATTATAAAATTTTAAAAAAGACTTTTCTTTAAATTATTTGACTGCCTGTAAATCTGAAACCCTTTGTCAATATATGTACACTTCAGTCTGTTGCACGTGTGGCAAAACTAGTTAACAAATGTAATCTCACTGCTCTAAATACTCCGGAAAATTAAAAAAAAAAGACTAAAAAATAAAATAAACAAAGTAAAATAAGAACAATAATAAGAACAAAAGTTCATTCTCCATGCTTAAAATTCTGGAGGCAATTAAATGTTGATAATATTTATGAAAAAATACATGGTAACTGTTTCAGGAATCAATATTAAAAGATGTAATTTTATTTATATAATGTTTAAAGACATTAATATATATATATATATAGGGTGGCCAGCCAAAAGCTAATTTAAAATTCCAGGATATTTCCAGGACTTTTCAAGAATAATTTGGGGTTTTTGTAGGTTATATTGATATTTTCTTGACCAGAAAAAAACAAAATATATTGCCTTCAAAATATGTTTTATATATAAATACATGTTATAATATAGTCGTATATATAGTATGATTAAAAGTTAAAAAATATTTTATATTGTATATATATATATAAATACACTAGGTTATTAAACACTTCTATTTAATCCCTTTCTAAGATTGTTCAAGGTTTTTTAGTGAAATATCAAGCTCTTTAATTGCCAGTTTTTTTTTCTAGAATTGTGTTTCTAAAGGAATTTGCTTTTGCATGGATAGTGAAGTTTCCCTTTTCTTCTGCTTCAATGCTTAACTCGTCAGCATCAGTTTTGAGAACTTTGATGCATTTTACAAAAACAAATTTCTGTTTCTTTATAATTACAAAATTTTCATCAATCAATTTAAGTTTCTTGCTTACTTTGTCTACCTTTAACTGGTCCTTATTTTCCTTTAACAGTGAATTGTACCTATTTTATGCTAACCTTCAGCTTTTTAAAAGGTCACCGGGAAGCTCATACTGATGAATAACAATGCCAAGGGAATTGATGTGGTTATAAATTTTTCTTTGGGAAACAAAAGATCTTTCTCGTAGATTTTCTACTAACAACTGCTTGTTAACACTAAATCCTTGTTCTATTGCCTATTAGCCATGAGGTAAAACAAAAATGATAGCACAGACTTTCCACAATGCTGAATACTTTTGATTTTTGTGCAAATAGACACCAAGAAATTAATTAACAGAATCAGTTAATTCATTAAAGGACTCAAATTTATTTATTATCATTTCAAAGAATCTAAATTGAACACATTCTGCACCAAAAACTTCATCAAATTGTTGTTTTGCATCATCTACATCATCAGTTGAAAGCCATTTTATGCACATAATCTCTCAGCAAAACCTTCAAATTTCGGAGTTGATACTTCCTTGTTTAAAGTCGATACTTCCTTGTTTGTTCCCTCTTAAAAGAATACTTCAATGGGTATCTTTCCTGTAAATTTTGCAATAACATTATGATAATCTGCCTACATTATTTCTTAAACTCTCTGGTCATTATTTCTTAATTTCTCTTCTGGTTAACAGTGAAGAGAACTAAGCATTTCAGTGCTGTTCCTATGTTAATATGTTCTACTTCTAGTTGGTTATTTGATTTATCTACTTCAATCTTTGGTAAACTAAATGCAAACTTTGATGTTATTGTGCTGTCAGAGAATAATCAGAGAATTTAAATATTTCATTTAAATTTAAGAATAATTTTAAAGAAAAATGTGACATTCAAGCTCCATATTATTTCTGCCTTGGTAACCAGATTTATAGTTGTTTTTTTTTAATTAGGAGAACTTTTATGTAAGTTATTGATAGAACACAGCCAATGAATTTACTACAAGCATTTCAAAATTCAGCAAAACATATTTAAATAAAAGTAAAAAAAACTTAAATTAAAATAAAAAACTAATAAACTACCAGTCAAGAATATATCTGCTGCATTATGTGTCTTTGCATTAAATTTATCCTTTAACCAGTTGGATAAGAATTCAAGGCATATACTTAGAGATATTAATATCTGTTCTGCACCAACTATAGTTTGCTTTTTTAGAATTTGAAATACAAAATTTTACCCAAGAAGAATAATTTTTGTTGTATTGCCATTCTGTTTAAAAATGACAGTTCTTTGTATTAGGCATTATATTAGTTATATATATTTTTAATAATTGCTAGATGCTAATAATACTGACAGTAACAGTTAAAAAATTTTTTTGCAAGTTAGAAAATACATAATTAATTCAGTAGAAATCTACGCAATATTAATAATATTTCTGTAAAAGGTAAAAACATTATAATGAAATACTGAAGTATTTCAGAAAAAGTTAAAGGATTTCCAGGATTTATTGCTAAAAGGGGTGTTTTTCCAGGACTTTTCTAGGACCTACCAAATTCAAGGACATTTCCAGGTTTTCAAGGACTGCTGGCCACCCTGATATATGTTCACGCAGCTATCTATTTTAGTTTGATGTAGCCAGTGGTAATCTAATGCTGCATTCATACATGTATATTAGGGTGGCTCTTAAAACAACATTGAAAATGTCTGCTCTCTATAATAAAATAATACTGAATTTAAAATTTTTTTGGATAAAAAGTATTTTTAGGGGTTGCGCAAGACCCTTAAACATCAGAGGGTTTATAATACTATGAAAAAAAGATTGTTTTTTTAAAGGATATCATGTTGGGTGTTAAAAGATGCAGAATTATGTAAAAATTTCAAAACAAATCAAGATTTTATAAAAAAAAATTCTATATTAGATTTTACTCTCTAAAAAATGACATTTTTTAACTACAAACGAAAAAAATGAATTTTTAGTTAAAAAATTATAATCAAAAACTTTTTTAATTTTAACTTTTTTTTCATGTTTTTTTTACTTTAATATAATTTTGCTTTTTATAAGACTCCACATAATATACTTTAAAAAAAATCTTTTTTTTATAATATTAGGAACCCATCTGATATTTAAGGGTCTTGTACAACCCCTAAAAATAATTTTTATTTAAAACTTTTTAAATTCATTATGGCTTTATTATATAGAACACATTTTTTCAGCAGGTTTCAGCAGGACATTTAAAAAAAAATGTTTTAAGAGTCACTCTAGTAAAATGTATAAATGCAGCATCAGATTACCCCCTGTCCCTGTTTTAAAAGTTTTACCCTTTCTGCCATCCACTTTTTAAAAAACTATTCAACATTAAACAGTGATTTTAGGCTAAATATGAAAATTTAAGATTTTAATTAAACATGTTTTGTATCAACATTTCAATATTCAATTTGATATGAGCAATATTAAATTAAGAAAAAATGATGAGATGATTGATAAAATTGTTGAGAAATTATGACTTACCCTTGAAGCAAAGATATTTAATCAATTACCAACTAATGGATAGTGAGTGACTGGGGCCCCAGAAAACAAGATTTTTTTAAAACCCGGACCCGCTCCTGGCTAAACTATAAGACTTAGTAGGGGTTGATAGCCAGGGCTAGAAAAAAATGTATAATACTTTATATATTATAATTTCATGCTTACATTTACTATTTGTTAAATACTGGCATATATTTATATATTTTCAAACTCTAATTTACTTCCAACAGAATTGCAAGCAACCACTATTAAGTTATGAGTTACTTTAAAATAGAGAATAAGTAAAATTACTAGGAAATGGTTAACTGAAGACTTGAAAAATTGTAGGTTGTATATTAAAGAAAAACATGAAGATGGCTAATAGTTAAAAGGTTTTTTTGATGTGCAAGGAAAAAAACTGGATTAATAAAAGTTTTTATAGCATGAAGGGATATATATATAAGGATGCAACTTGTTGAATAAGAAACAAGCAAGAATAAGTTTTGGTTTATCGAAATAGAGATGATAGCTTTATTTGAGCATTGACCATAATTATATTTGTAGAAAAAAGAAAGAAATGCAACCTTACAACAATGGAAGAGTGGCTCAAGCTTGGTAGATAATGCAGATCTAATTTTTTTTTTTTAATGTTGATTCACCTCCTCAAGGCTGAAAACGCTGCTCAAGACGAGGAAGCTACTTAATTGTGGTTATAACCCTCTTGCAACAAGGCCGCTGCGCAGAGAAACAAGTTGAGCGCAATACTACTAGGGACATGGTGGGGATCAAACTTGGTACCTCTTACTTATGATGCAAGCGTTCTACCACTACACCATGACCGCATTACATTTACAATGTGCTTTTAGACTTTGCCTAAGAGTTTGAGGGTTTCATTAATATATAATATAACATTATTGCAATATTTTTTTGAAGTAAATAAATGAGTTTTGTTGTCTAACAAAAATTGCAGATTTTAAGTCCAGAATTTAAATCTATAAGCCACAGCAAGCCTTAGGCTTTTACAGTAGAGAGATTAGATTAAAAATTAGCTATTTGTTCTAAGCAATGAAAAAGTAAAGATTTTTTGTCAAGACAAGAATATAAAGTGGAGTCGTCAGCAAATAAAGCCACTTTAGATGTAAAATTTTCATGAAGATTGATATTATAGATAAGAAACAATACAGAAGCAAAGATTTAATGGTACCACCTTGTGGTACCCTAAAGTTGCTTGAAATAAAGAAGAGCGTAGGCCTTCAAGAACAACTTTATTACTGCAGTTAGTAAGAAATAATTTAATAATCTCAAATATATAAAGAAACAAATATATAAAGAAACAGTTGTAAAGACTAATTGTAGGATAGTTGGAGGGGTCAAAGTGTTTCTGAAGTTTTGAAAAATTGGAACCACTTATTTAGTACTTTTTAAAAATTAAATATTATTAAATGTTATATAATTAGTAAGATTAAATGCTAGACTAACTTTAGTTAATGACATTGTTGAAGACTAACCAAAAGTCTCTAGAACCTAACATCTGATATATGATACAAGATTTAGTAAACTGAGAATAATAGAGCTTAACATCAGATGGGACATTTTTACATTGGCTTCTAGGAATAGTAAAAAGACATTTGTTCTTAGAGAGATGTTCTTATAAAAAAGATGAAATAAATGATTAATAAAGCAACTGCTCAAGGTAGTGAAAAATATGGAGTAGAATGAAGTTTAACTTAAAATTGAAGAGTAGGAATAAAAGCTACTAAACTTTTAGTCCAGAAAAAATAAAAGCTTCTGAGATGCATTTTATACATACATATTATGGACATAAACATATATGCTTGCTATTTATTTAGATGTTAGCATACAATATCCTCCCATATTTATATAAACTCATATTTATATGATGATGATGATGTTGATCATAATGCAGATTATGTTGATCATAATGATGTTTATATATGCATATATATATACATAATATAACATGAATTTTGAATTTAAAAAAATGTACTTTACAATGTATAAATATTTATTCAGCCCCGGCCAAAAATCTGGCCCCAGTTATATTTTATCAAACCCAGTCCCGGCCCTTGTCAAATATCACCACCAGTTGTTTACTACTAATGGAGAAGATGTACGTCATTATCTATATCTTACAAAGTTTGATTTGAAACTAACTTAAAAAAATTACGTTAAATAATTTAATCATATATATTGTAAAAAAGAAGTTTTATCTGTAGTTAAATCAAAGTTTCCAATCAAAAGGAAGAAAGTGCTATTCCTAGACAAAAAAAAAGGGATATTAGAAGACCCTTAAGTTTCCAATGACATTAAAAAAACATTTATTTTTCCTAAAAATGGGGTAATGGTGTAGTGGTAGAACGCTCGCCTCATAAGCAAGAAGTTCTGAGTTCAATTCTTGCCACGTCCCTGGTAGTACTGCGCTTGTTTTGCTGCGCCGCAGCCTTGTTCTTCAAGGTTTGTATTTTGGAGTTATAGAGTTATGAGAGGGTCATAACCACAACTAAAGCAGCCTCCTCAACTGTAGTGACCTATCAGGCAACAGCAACTACAGATGCTGTAAAGGCCTTAAAAAAATTACGTTAAATAATTTAATCATATATATTGTAAAAAAGAAGTTTTATCTGTAGTTAAATCAAAGTTTCCAATCAAAAGAAAGAAAGTGCTATTCCTAGACAAAAAAAAAGGGATATTAGAAGACCCTTAAGTTTCCAATGACATTAAAAAAACATTTATTTTTCCTAAAAATGGGGTAATGGTGTAGTGGTAGAACGCTCGCCTCATAAGCAAGAAGTTCTGAGTTCAATTCTTGCCACGTCCCTGGTAGTACTGCGCTTGTTTTGCTGCGCCGCAGCCTTGTTCTTCAAGGTTTGTATTTTGGAGTTATAGAGTTATGAGAGGGTCATAACCACAACTAAAGCAGCCTCCTCAACTGTAGTGACCTATCAGGCAACAGCAACTACAGATGCTGTAAAGGCCTGGAAAGTAAAAAATTTTGAATTTCTTTGTACTTAGTCCCAGTTTAGTCTCAATCAGCGTTAATATTTTCAATTTATACTAATCATTTATATGCTTGTTTGTCATAAAAATAAATTTTAATAATAAATTTTAAAATTATTTATCAAGTAAATCTTTTTTGTTTCAGTTAAAAAGTTCTAAAAATTCAAAAGCAACAATAAGTATTAACATTTACTCTTTTTGTTGCATTATTTTTAATTAGCAATTCAAAATTTAAAAAAATAACTATATCAAACCTACCCAGTAAGGACAGCACAAACTAAATTCAGCATAAAATGGGTACCAACAATATAGAGAGAATAAAAATACGCCCATGCAAAATATGCCTTTTCCTCATACACTTTAAATAACTAAACAATAAATTCACATAACTATTTCACTGTTAAAAACATAAATTAGATTCAAATAATTAATTCACTTTTTATTAGAAAAATAATCTAATCTGCTGATGATTGAAGATTCTTTTTCTAAAAGGAGCTAAGCCAAATTTTTATTTTTTTAAAATAATTAAAAATAACAACTAATTATTTGGAAAAGTATTTTTTGAATATTAATAACTTTGTAATCATACGTTAAGTTAATAAATAATTTTGTTTATTCATACTAACAGTTAGATTTGTAACTTTTTGAATAAAAAATCCAATGTTAAAAACACTCAATTTTGAAAAAAATGGACTAAGCTCCCTTTCAGAAAAATACTCTTATATTGGTTAAAGAAAAAAGTCTTTTTTAGGTTTATTTGATAAGATATTGCACAAAGTAATAAAATAATTTATTAAATTTTGAATTTTAAATACTTCAAATCAAGTTAAATTATAAGTATTACATTATAAAAAAAAACTAGTTCAAAATTTTATTATTTGCGAAATAACTAACAAATTTAAAACTAATAACTAGGTGTTGCACAATACTTTGTACCAACAAAATATTTATGTTTTATATATTATGTATACTATATATATATATATACATTTTATGTGTAAATTAGATTGTTAATACTTAGTATTTTGTAAAAGAAATAATTTCCATCAATCAAGTTGTATGTTTTAAAAAGCAAAACATCTAGTCAACTGATTGACTTATATTGGATCCTTAGAGTAGGTAACTTGTAAAGATTACCCTCACAAACCTTATTAGTAAACTGTGTAGTAGGCCATAAATACCTAAAAGGACCTTTAATTTTTAAAAAGATAATATTTAAAAAACTTTCTTCAAAGTAATAATTTTTCACAATTTTTACTTTTATTATTGCTATATTTTTTTCACATGTCAATGTTTTCAACTTCCAAATAATTTTCATTAATAGCTTCTAAATTGTTCATCATTTCATCTCCTAAATTAATAATTTTTTTTGGTTTCGATAATTCTAAGTCTGAGGATTCTAGTTCTGTCAGTTTTGATTCCTTATTATCCACTTCTAAAATTAAAAAACTCTTTACTTTTTCTGGAAGTTTGAGCACATCTTTCTTCATCCGTCTAGATTCCAAGGAGATAGAACTAATAAGAGAATCGGATGATCTCATTACGCGGTTAAAGACATCTGTAAAATTTGTTTGTCTTGAACATTTACAAGCATGTACTTTGCGATGTCGTCTGTAATTTTTGTTTTTGCATTCAGATGCTTTCTCAGCTAAAACTCCCAAGGGAACTGGTTAGTTTATGATTATTTCTGCTCCATGTGCAAAAACTTTGTGAACTGTTGACGGCATTTTATACCAATCATACAGATCTAAATAACAATGGTATACTGTTTTACAGTATAGCTCAAATAACTCTGGATTCAAAGTTTGCAGCGCAACTTATTGCAATTAAGATATTTTTGAACACTTTAATAATTGTATTACCTTTCCATCAATCATGTACAAAATAAAATTGAAATCAATAATAACAAACTTTCCATTAACCAATTTAATAATCACTGAAAGAAAATCCAAAATTTCATTTTCTATTTGATGTTTTTTTCCTAAAAAGACTACGGCAGTTTCTTTGATGAAATGAAGTTCAATTGGCCTACAAAATCTTACACTAAGAGGCATTAAGTTGGTTCACAAAAAGTCATTTTTTGAATTTGATACACTAAGCCTCAAAGGTGTTGTTACAACTGCAAACATGCTTGAATCTTGACTGTCAACAAAATTGGAAAACGCTTGGTTGTACAAAGCCTGCCCAGTAGATTTATCCATAAATTATGTTAATTTCAAGTATGGAAAGTTAATTTTAAGCATAGGATAATAACACATATGCAAATAGTTACTTAATTAAATGTCAATTATCAATAATAAACTATCATTTTCAATTGATTATTGAATACAAAGTCTTATGTAGACTTTTGATCAATTATCACTTGGGAAAACAAAAAATTGAAAATTGGGTATAATCCAGGTAGCGCAATCTTCAAATAGAATGTTCATGCATAGTCGCAAAAAGTCGCAGCTAACTTTTTAATTTCTTCAAAATAGGCTCAACTCTACGTTATTTAATAATAGTTTGGTCAATACCTTATGAAACTATATTTTTTAGGAGTTCAAGCAAGTTGGAAGTTGTGATTTAAACTTTTTTTTTTTGGCTTAAAACATCATGAAAATTAAAAAACAAAATTTTTTTTTTTCTTGAGCATCTTAAGATGTATATAATTTGATACTCTGTAATATATAAATAAACTAGCAGAAAAAAAAATTATTCACAAAACACTGCAAGAAAAACAAAAACATATTTTGTATATTCCTTAATCTGAGTATTTTAAAGCAGTTGGAATTTCAAAAATCTGAGACAACTTTTTTTTGTACTTTGGTCACCTTAAAACACATAGTGTTTTTGCGTAATAACATGTTTTCTTTCCATTTTAACATATTTTCAGCATTCCAAAAGCTCAGTAAGATAAGATGAAAATAAATTACAATTTAACAAACATATTTAGGAATTTCCTGTTTTTTGCAATATGAAAACAATTATCTAAATTATTTTTCACACATCAGCATAGTATTTAATAGATCATGATCTGACATAAAACCTTAACAGTTAAAAGTTTTTAACTTGAATTTACAAGAAATCTGTTTAATCTATAACAAAAACCTAATTAGAGTAGATTACCTGAATTAAAATTCTTAACACACAAATTTAATGAAAATCTTATTCTGCAATTAAAAATGAATTAATAATTTTTTCTTTTATTCCTAATTTTAGCAGGTAATGCTTTAAAGTTAAAATGAAAAAATTATATGAATTTTTGAATATTTAATTAATACAATACTAATTAATATAATCTTTTATGCTCAAAAATAGAAGCAAAGCTTTTTTCTAGGAATTTGCAATCTTCTAGAATTTTGAGATTACAATTCAACATTTTATTATTTTATTTAAATTAGTAATCATATTTTATTAATGTTTTATCCCAACACTGTATTGTTGCAGTAACAGCAAAAACAACTGCTTGTTTAAACAACTTAGTTCTGTCATTTAGTGAGTGCTACTCAGTTTCAAACTTTAAATGTTTTCAGAATGTTTGTTGTTCATCAGACAGCCTTTAAACTAAAAAAAATTCACTAATTATGTTCTTAAAAAATGTTATAATTTATCAGTTTATTTTGAAATTTATACAAATATCAAATTTTATTTTCTTGGTTTCAACTTCTTTTTCCTTTTTTTATCTCTTACGCTTTGCTCTCTTACTTATCTCTTACTTATCTCTTTTATCTCTTACTTATCTCTTTTATCTCTTACTTATCATTTACATTTTAGTTACTATTTTAATTTTACTTCAAAAACTTTTTGTTTCTAAGTTTTGTGCAATATCTTTTTTTTTAATTTCTATAATATGTGGTACATATAGATTTGTAAAATCTGTATGCACACATACATGTGTATGTGGACAAATTTGTATGTGGATAAAATGTAGTAGTGGTGTATTGGAAGAGCTTTCGTAAGCAAGAAATTCTGATTTTGATCTCTACCACATCTTTGGTAGAATCACACTCAATACACTTATGGTATTTGTCAACTAATCTTTTTATGTCTATTTTTTATTATTTAATTACTAAATATTGTTCAATTTTGGTTATAACTCTTGAGTTAGTCCAAAAAACTTTTATTTCCTTTGCAACAAATTTATATACTTATTTTTCTAGTGATGATGTAAAAATGTTGATAAAGTTTGTTTTGTTTTATTTACTTTTAAACATTGTATTCAAAATCAATCACATTTGTTTCAATAAAATTTTTGTTTGAACATTTATTTTGTTTAGCATTTTTTAAATATAATAATTTTTTTAGTCTTGAATTCTACTTTATGTTGTTAAAAATGAAATCTAGAATTTAAGCCTTTATTAATAAATACTAATATTAGTATTAATAGTTAAAAATAAAATTTAATTTAATAAAGATGAAGTGTGACTTAGTTGCAAGTTCAATATATCAAGTAAGGGATTTGTAAAAGGAAGAGTTTCACAAATCTTGTAAATTTTTAAGTGTTTTCTACTATGACTCACTTTACTTTTATTATTAAATTTATTTCTAAATAACCAAAAAACAAGTCTATAAAAAAGTAAAAATAGCTTTGATAAAAAAAAAGGTGATGACAAGTAATGATAAATGTTGATGACATTTTACATTTTTAAGTCAAAGATAAAAAAAAATCAGATAATATTTAAAAAAATCAAGAAAACATTTTCTTAAAAGATAACAACTGTAATAATAATTAGTTAGAAAACTAAAAATAAATAAAAAGGTCTTACTGCATACATAATATCTGTCCAACCTTGACCAGTTATACACTGAAATACAGTAATACAACTAAGAAAAATATTATCAAAGGATGTTATTCCAGAATTCGGACCACTCCAAAACTGTTTACACTCAGTTCCTTCAGGACATTGTCTTCCACCACTAGTGTTTGTTCCACATAACCATTCTGCTCTCCAAACAGCTATGAAAGGAATTACATATAGAATTGCGCATTGCTAAAAAATCATCTTTAAATACAAAGCTGAAAAAGTAAAATCATAAAAAGTCCAAGAATAGAAAATAACGGTAGTATTCTCATGTCATAATAATACTCCACAAAATAATAGAGTAATGTAATTCCATTCTGAAAATTAAGAATATATTATGACACCATAGGATTTACAACTTTATTAGTTTAAACAACTTTTTAATAACTTGACGTTTTTAATTATTTGAAAGTTGATATCCAAAATAAATTTCATTAAATTTTTATTGAAGAGAACATCTTACAACATTGTTGTGCAAGATAACTACAAGGGAACTGGGCATGGAACCTAGTATGAAATTATTCATTATGTTCGGCACTTTGGATGCTCTTATTTGGGTAACACAACCAAAAGTAACTGCTAAAATATAAAATATAATCTTGGAACTACAATTTCCCAAACTTTAAACTGCTTATAAGTCAAGCATGCGCTATTTGCAGTATTCTCTGTGTATGCCTTTATGCAAAGAAACATTTTACAAAATAAAAATTCTATAACAGAGAAAAGGCTGGATTTTTGCTGATTTGAAATAATCAGAATTCAGAAGAATATGTGCATTGCTTATAGGAATGCTGAATGGAGGGTCAAATTGAAATGGTTTCAACTAATTTTTAAACAAAGTTGGATAAAACTTTGTTTAAAAATATAATAAAAAAGATAATAAAATCTAACCTATTTTAGACTGAAAAGAAGCTAAGAATTTTATTGAAGCATATACAAGAGATAAGGATGTGCCTGAGAAGCTGAAAGAATAAAGGAAAAAAAGAGGAAATAAATTTAGGCAACTTTTTAACTCAATTCATGATTTTTTTCTTTTACTTCTTTGTAAATGGCTATCTCCTGGTATAACTTCTGTTTATTTTTTATTTAAAGTTATATAGGAGATACTGGTTCTGGTATCTCCTATACAACTTTATATATAATTATAAATCTTTCTGTTATCTCCTAATGAAGATACAACTCTAAACTCAGTTTAATATTTACTTGCTGGTAGTAGAGTTTTCTGAACTCTGTGGTTGCTCTCAGAGAGACCAATTTCATCATCAGATGTAAAATATCAGAGTATTAGAGATGCCATGTTGCACATGGATAGTATCCCTGTAAGTTTTTTTGGCGTGCATTGTCAATGTCACATAAAGATTCCTTTGTTATTACATTCAGATGTACCAAATAGCTTTTATGTGATCTTAAGGATTTTTTTATCATTGCAAAAAAGAAAAAGAAAAAAGAATTGTCTAAGATTAATTTCTCATATGCAGGTCTGACCACAGATCACTTACCCAAAATTTTGACTGAACAATTCATGAATAAATTTTCCTCAATTTCTTAAATTGTATGACAACACCCATTCTGGCATCTCAAACAAATAAGTATTTGTTTAACTTTAAACATACTAATCACTTTGATGTTTTTGTAAAAATTAATTCTCCCTCTTTTTAGTTTTTGGTCCAGAGAACATTCCTGTTCTCCGGAATTATCATTAATAATGTGAACATTATTAAATTTTGATTTGTTTGTTTAACTGCTGATTTGTTAAATGTAATAATGAAAAGATTCTCTTCTGTCTTAGATGGATGCAATAAGATAAAGTCTATTTCCCTTGTCATCGTATTTTTAATATAAATTTTTTTGGATTTTATGCTTTGGTTTTATTTTTTAATACTAAAATAAACTCAATTGGTTTGTATTGAATCAATCAAACTAATGTTCTTTAATATTAAAATAGTGTAATACATCTATTGCATACCTACTAATAAATCCTGCTTGTTTTAATTTTTAAAATTTTCACTTAAATTCTGACAATTTTTCAGACAAAGATAACAAGACCTATCTATTTCTCATGCAAAAAAGACCTTCCTAAAATGTCTATTTTGCGTTATAAATACTAACTGCTGAATCAAAAGTCTCTAGCAAAAGATGCACTGAAGCCCATACAGAATTTATTATCAATGATGTTTTTAATTTGTAGTAATTTGCATTAGTGTATTCTTCATTTTCAATTTGTGCATTTTCTTAAAAACATGCTAAATATTGTCATGTGACCTTCCAACAGTAAATCTTTTCCATAGTAAATTAGCCACAGATCCATGAATTTGAAAATGCATTCATGAATTTGAAATAGTATACGATGATGTGTGTGTGTGTATATGTATTCTACATCATATATATATATATATATACAAGACAATAAACTGATAAAAACTCTTAATTTTTAATTGATTGAAAGGATGAGTTTGTAAATATTTAATACTTAATGGTAGTATCACAACAAAAAACCTTAGTCCCGATCTGCAAAACAATTTAAAGTCAGAAAGAGCATATGGTTGTAAAAAATTGATTTAACACTTTCATAGTGTCATATTTAAAGTAGCAGTATGGAACCATTTAGGTGTTGAGCATGGAAATTAAACCAGAAAAAATTAACATAGACACTACAGTTAAATATTTTATTTTAAAAACTTGTAAAACTATAAAATCATATAGCATATAGTACTTTACTTACTATTGTTTGATTTATGAACACATGTTTGATGAAACAAGCCTTGAAATAGCGACATTCCAACAATTGCATAAATTATAATGATAAATCCGAGAAGAAAAAATATTTCCATTAACGATTTCATGGATTTTAAAATAGCACTTAAAACAAGTTGTAAACCTGTAAAATAAAGTTTTCATTTTCATTTTTAAGGTTAATTTTACTTATTCAAATATAAAATATGAAATCTAATTTTATAGCTTATTAGGATACAAAATGATCTCTGTGAAAATAGGAGAGAATCTTAAATATAGTGGTACTATGGATTTTGTAAACAAAGGTTTAGATAGTAAAAATGCTAGAAAATAAACCAAATTACTGCTAAATATAATTCTGTACAGTTGTGTTTGAGGTTTTTATAACAGATTTTAGAAAATTTTTATTAAAACATATTTATAAACAATATTTTAGGGACTTTAAATAAGAATAAATTCATATATACTTACATAAAAACAATTATACTTCTGTAATTGAAAATTTATATTTTAATTGAATAAATAATATTCAATATATTTTTCAATATTTTATTCAAGGTATTTGCCTTGCGATTTATTAATAATTGAACATATGCTAACTAATGAGATTTTTGAAATTATTATAAGTAAACAAATTTCTTTTGGAACTCTAAATAAAACAAAAGTATGATTTTTAAAACATCTTTTTTTTTATCCCTCTTTGAGAAGAGAAGTTGAAAAGAAAAAAAACTATAATAAAGATATTGGTTTTAAAAACATGTATATAGTTAAGTATACATCTTAAGAACCTAATTATCCCTCTTTGAGAATAGAAGTTGAAAAGAAAAAAACTATAATAAAGATAATGGTTTTAAAAACATGTATATAGTTAAGTATACATCTTAAGAACCTAATTTAGTATTAATTTGGTAATTTTATTTACTGAATAAAAGTGTAAAGCAGTATTTCATAAGCACATGCAGACTTTTGTACCTTTAATTTGTTATAAGGGATTTGTTATAAGGGTTGCCACTTCAAATATTTTCTAAAAGTTCAAATTTGAATAGGTACAAATTATATCTAAAAAAGATATAATTTGTACCTTTTTTTGAACTTTTTTTATCACTTTCTTTTTTTCTTCTAAAAAAAGGGTAGAGTAAATTAGTTTATTTATTTACTTTAACTTTTTTTTTTTTGTAACATTTAAGTTTAAAAAAATCTTTTTTTTTATTAAAAAATTAGCACATAACACCTAAAAATTATATGTATTAGTTTAAAAAAACTTAATACGTCTAAGATATCCTTTGAAAAGATACTTCTTTTTGTTGCAATTAACTCTAGATTAGAGAAAGTCATTTCAGTTTCCACAGATGTTGGGGAAACAGTTCTTAGAGCTTTAAAAAGAATATTAATTTGATATTATTATCTAAACTTTTTGGCCTTAATTTGATGGCTTTAAAAAGAGCCAACTTGTTAGATATATTAAATCATTTTTTCTTCTTTCAACCATTTAATTAATTATTAACTTTGTTTCCAAACTGATTAGCTTGACTTAAATTATCTGAGTTTAATTAATAAATTTTTAGATGCATTAAATTATTTTTTTTAATTTAATTCATCTAATTGGTGTTTTTACTAAATGATGTTTTCTTTATTGAATTTTTTCTGATAAATTGAAGTCAAAAGACAATAAATCAGCATCTCATTAAAAAATTTATAGTTTAAGTAGCTTTAGGGGAACACAAAATTTATTAACTTTATCAAGTTTATCTGTTAAAAAAAGAAAACCAATGTTTTTGTCAATTAAAACTTTTTTTATGTATTTTAAACTTCGAAGAAATGTACCAAAATGATAATTGTTGCCATCTTGGTACATTTCTTCAAAGTTTAAAAGACACTGCTCCACCTTGTCCTTGTATCATAAATTAAAGGTTTATTTTTACTGAAGATTGTCATCATTAATTTTCATCACTTAGCACAAACGTGAAAACATGACTGTAACACATATGATGTCAATATGCAGCCAGTTTTTTTCATCAAGCTGACTTTATGAGTAAATGAGACAGTAATATCCTTGTCTAAATTCAAACCAAGTAAACCTTTTTTGTAAATAAATCGTAGCAAATAAAAAAAAAAAACAGTAATTAAAAATAGCTTTTTAGTATCAGTAGCTTTAGCTGCTAAAATTATCTTATTTACTCTTCCAAAAAATTGAAACCATTTATTTTAATGAATATTCAATTTCACATATCTTCTTTTTTTAAACTGATATGCAATCATCAAATGTAAGGCTAAATTTTCCATTATTTGAATTAAAAAATGTTTTTTGTCTTATATAGTGAATATATTTCATAACTAGATTACAAACAGTTTATCAACTTTATAAGATAAGCTTGAAAGTCATTGAGTTAATAAGATAAGCATTAATTGTAAAACTTATTGCATCAAGAGCAGTTTGGTCAAGATTTCAGGTAATATTTTAGATAATAATACTTTGACTCATTTTATGAACAGGAATACTTTCAACAACTTCATAGGTCAATGTATTGCACTTTATAAAACCAATTTTATGTTTTATTTTTAATTGTCTTGCAATGTTGCAAGTTTTTAAGCCAGGAGTATTTAAAACAACTTTGCAAATATTTTTGCAAATATACATATATATATATATATATATATATATATATATATATATATATATATATATATATATATATATATATATATATATATATATATTATATATATATATATATATATATATATATATATATATTATATATATATATATATATACATATATATATATATATATATATATATATATATATATATATATATATATATATATATATATATATATATATATATATATATATATATGTATATATATATATATATATATATATATATATATATATATATATATATATATATATATATATATATATATATATATATATATATATATGTATATGTATATATATATATATATATATATATGTGTATATATATGTGTATATATATGTGTATATATATGTATATATATATATATATATATATATATATATATATATATATATATATATACACAACACGAGGCCATCGAAACTGCCTATTGAGCCAAACAAACTATCATATAAAGATATGTGCAGCGACTTAAATATAAAATTGCTCAAAACAAGATATTTAAGAGAGGACTATTTTTCCGAAAAATAAAAATAGAATCAAGATAATATAAGCAATTTACTGTCACCTCTTACCAGTAATCTCATGGGAGAAGGCCATAGAAGCTATTATAATAGAAAAATAGTGAGATGTTGCAATCAAATAAGGTATCATTAATAAATCCTTTCATGAACAAATTGGATACATATCTAAAAAGTCATCTATAATCCGTGTAGTTTGGTATAAGAGACAAAAAAAAAAAGGTGTATTCAGATAATATCTTTATTACTCCTTGTCTATGAAGCTCTGCCAAAGTTTCTAGTTGAATGGCAATATAATATATAGTTGATTTTACTATAGTAGGTATAAGAAACAAATGTGCAGAAGCATGATCCTCTCACAAAACCATAACTACCGAAACTATTACGACATGACATCATATGACATCAGGGTCAGTTTCAGCTTAGCAACCCAATATATGCACACATCTATTGACATATAAATAAATGTGATAAAAAAAATTAAAAATTTCTATAATTAAATAATATTGTTTTACAAATACTAACTTGGAAATTTAGAGACAATCTTTAGAGGTCTAAGAACCTTTGCAGCTTTTATAACTTTGGTAGGTCCACCAGTTACACCAGCAAAGGGAAGAATACTGAAAATATAAAAAATGAATTATATATTTATTACAATATTACATTGTATAATATATTTATTACAATATTAAAATATCAGACTTAAACATTTAAAAAACAAAGAAATATGAAAAAGTATTTAAATATATAATATAACAGTGTTGTTCACATCAAGAGTGCTGATTTAAAAGTATGTAAAATCTGTAACAGTAACTAATTTGTTGTCAGCAACTAGTTTGCTGTAATATGCAAACATTCAAACATAATATAAGTTGGTATTTAAACTTCTAATTATAGTTGCTCTCTGCTGGACACTCTCTCTAGATTATTTTGACCATACTCCAAATAAGGCTTCCATATAGGAGTTGCATACTCCAAGTGTAAACAAACTAAGGCTATAAACAAAAATTTCTTCACCCTTTCATCAAAATTTTTAAAATTGTGTTTGATTTGACCCAGATTTGATTTGCTTTATTTACTGCTCTATTTACATGTTTTCATTCCAAGTTATCTGAAATGTATACTCTTATACTTTTTTTCACACTATTGTACAAGCTGTATTGTTTATTGAAAATTTGTGTTGGTTGTTTCCTATTTTTTATACATTTTTGCTGGTTCAATTTCATAAACCCTTTTGCAACTGAATTAAAAACATTCGTTATTTGACTGCTTGTAAAATAATGAATTTAGATCATGATTAGTTAAAAGGATATAAAACTATTAGCCAGAATTTTACAATTAAGTCCTTGTTTTTTTTGTCAGAGAATATTTTTAAATATTTTTTATTATCTTTGTTACACTATCAAAAATATCCCATATTAAAATAAAAAATAATAAAGATGAGATATAGGAAACTATATGCAGAAACTTATAATTCAATTAAGACAAAGTTGGACAATTATTACACTAATGAAAGCATTGACACAAGTTACACTAATGAAAACATTGAGACAAGTTACAAAAAATTTGTCAACAAAATCCAGATTGAGTTAGACATAGCAGCACCAGTAAAAACAATGTCAAAAAGTTGGAGATTTTTACCAAAAAAAGAGTGGATGGACAGAGAATTGCTTGAGTCGAGAGAGTTTATTACAAATATAAGCTCTAAAGTTAGAAGTGGAAGACAAGACTTAAAGCATATCTTAGTTCAAAATTAGAAAAATTAAAAAAAAATATCTATATTTAAAAAAAAAACCTCTTTAAGCAACAGCTGATAAATTGTAAAGGCTACAGTAAGAAAACATTTATTGTTCTTAAAAAGGTCTTCAAAGATCATGTAATGATGATTCGATAAAATTTGAAAAAAATAATTTATTAATTTAATCAGAACTTGAAATAGCTAAAATATTTATGGACCACTTTACAGATACTTCACTTGAGCTAATACCAAGCAACTTTATTCCCATGAACCATCACAAATATCTTCCACCTCACAATGTTACTTAAAACTTAAAGTCAGTATTTAATGAGTCAATTATGCAAATTCTTAATGATTTAGTTCCTAAAAGTAGTTGTGGTTTTGACTTAATTAGTGACAAGTTTATTAAATATTACTTATCAGGGTGCACAAATTTTTTAACAAAAATGATCAACGAATCAAAAAAGGAAATAAAACCGTTATGGATAATTACAGACCAATAAGACTATTACGAGCACTATCAAAATTATCTGAAAAAGATGTACTACATCAAATTGAGATGAACTTTGAGGATAATGGAATCATTCGGAAAAATCAATTTGGTTTCAAAAAGGGATGCAATTCAATCCATGCAAACTTGAAACTTCTCAATAAAATAACGAGTTATAGAAACCAAAAAAAATTGTAGCAGTCATATTAATTGATGTAAAAAAAGTCTTTTGACAGTTGTGTGCATGCCATTATTTATAACAAACTCAAAGACATTGGTGCTGGTTAAAAAATTATTAAATGGATTTCTTCATATTTAGCAGACAGAAGGCAGACAGTTGTTATTGGAAATTACACATCTAAAGAAAGACTTGTAAAGTTAGGAGTTGGTCAAGGAACATGTATAGGTCCTTTGCTTTTTAAAATTTATACTTATGATCTCCCTGGTGCAACAGAGCTTGACACCTATTTTTTTTGCTGATGATACAACAATGTTTGCAAAGGCTGCCATAATTGAAGAGTTACAAGAATTATGTTGCAAAGAATTGGAGAAAGTCAGTAATTGGTTTGTAGCTAATGGATATACACTTTATCCTGAAAAAACAAATTTAATGATTTTCGGTAGCAAAAAAAAAGTAGAAGTAAAGTTGCAAGAACTCAAGGTTACCCAATGTGGTTATAATTATAAAAATAAAATCATTAGCATTTTGGGTACCCTATGGGACGACAAATTGAAGTGGCATCATCATTTAATTCATGTGTTAAAAAAAATAAGCAAAGGCATTTACCTGTTAAGAAGATTTAATAAACTGTTGCCATGCAAATCTAAAGTTCTTTTGTATAATGCATTGATTAGAAGCCAATTAATTTACAGTGTTGAAATCTGGGGAAACAGTGATTTTAAAATGTTACAAAACTTATTTGTCAACAAAAGAGAGCTTTACGGATTATTGGCCCCAATAAGACTC